CTTTCCCCCTCTTTCCCCCCCGATCAAGACAGAGACCCACCCGCCGTTTGTTTCAGCGTTGAAATAAATACTATTTAGCTTGCTAAATAGATAACATGGCTAATTAACTAGCTAACGTCAACTAGTTTCCTCCCTCACGTTACTTCACAGAGTAAGGAATAGCAGTCTAAACGTACTGTACTTGTCTGCGATTTAGTACAATAATTACATTTAGCTGGTATCACGTCGTGCGCGGAGTTTAACTCTAAAAATGTGGTTCTGCCGACATCGAGCAGAAACTCACGACTGTATGCGCGCTTAAAGACAGGTAGACGCGATGAAGACGTACAAAAACACTGCGACTCACAAGACAAAACACATGAAAACACCGTTCTGAGAAGCCGCAGCGCGTGCACGCGCCGCCATCTTGGATCAAGTCCCACATTCATGTGTATGTGCACACATCCTCTACTTCACCGCTCCAAACTTAATCCAGGAAAGGTGAGCATTCCTGATCATAACTTGGACTGAAAGATGAATGTGTAGAAAGCGAGCATGTCTCCAAAAACTTTGTTGAGCTGCAGGTTTAATGACTGCATTTTTTAGTAATTTTTAAATTTTTTTTACAGAAATTATGTTTTGATTATGTTTTTGATTATTGAGCTGCAGGTTTAGGCCTTGTTGAGCATTTATTTTTGTTCTGATTGATTATTGTTGAGCTGCAGGTTTAGGCTGACTTAAGTGATTGCACTTAATTTAATTATATAATTATTTATTTTAATTATTTAGCCTGACATGTTTACTGTTCCAAAATGTTCTATATGTTTCTTAAAAATAAAATGTGTTCAGTGGAGAAAAAAAAGTATTTTTTACCCAGACATTTAAAAAGAACATATTTTAGAGCTGTAATCGCAATACCGTGTTACCGTGATATTTTTTTTATCTAAGGTTTATCATACCATCAGAATCTCATACCGGCCCATGCCTACTCATGCAGCGCACTGCCTGCGTAGGAGTAACAAACAAACAAAAAACAACAAACAAAAAAGTGCATGCGATATTAACAGACGAACTACGCTCATATTTATAATTCCAAACAATCAGTAAGCGACAGGTGCTAGGAAACGCTGTTTTGTACTCATTTATTGACGAGTCGGCTGCGGTGCGGCCAACTGAATGTGCTGCTTCTCTGCCGCTCACGCACAGAACAGACGTCGAGAGAGGTGACACTTCTCCGGGAAAGTCAGACCTCGCGTTCGAGGGACAGCACTGGCAAAATCTATGAAAAAAAGCCACTAAAAGGGTCTGAAAGTTGCTAAATCTAGTGCTAAAGTCGCGGTCATGTGTGTGAGACGCGGGAGCTGATGGCAGGGGGCGGTGGATATTTGTGGCAGTCAATGTGGATATTGTGGATGAGTTCTTCTGTGTCATCACGTTCTATTAGTTCTACAGCTTCAGTTTCGGAACTTTCACGCTTAGTAACACATACAGCTGTTCCCTCACCATAGTGCAACAGTGAAAAGGGACCCCTTTCAAACAGTGTCGCGTTCCGAACATTGTTTAAGCGACATACGGTATTGCGGTATTTTAAAAATTCATAACAAAAATAAACACTGGTATTCGGTATGAACCGGTATACCGCCCAGCACTAAGTGTAAATATAATTATTAACTGCAGGTGAGCAGTTGTACCTGCTGTTGGGAGTTGTAGTCAAATAGGCCGACTGGAGTACCAGATGAGTCCACCTGGATCTGGTTCCCAGCATAGTCAAATTGGAGCAACTCCATGCCTGCCTGATGCTCCATGCCGCCCATGCTCTGGGCTTCCTGGCTCTGGAAGTCCTCGGTGGGAGGTTTGTTTGTGACAGGGTTGGGTGGCTGCAGAGTATGCGGGTGGTGCTGTGCCATCATTTCCAACCCGGCCTGACTGGGGCCCAACCGTTCTACTGCCTCTGTGGGGGACGCCTGGCGACTGCCTGGGGTAGGGCTGTAGAAAATTAGTTTTTAATCAAAGCATGGATACTTCACTATCATAAAACAAAAAGAAAGCAGTGACATTCTTACAGTTTCACTAATTGCTATTCTATTAAAGGCCAAAAAAGTTTTAGCTTTAGCTTAGTTTTAGGTTTTTACTTTAGCTGGATCCATACAGGTCTAGTGTCAGCCAACAAAACAGCCTATAAAGGTTCAGGGCATACATTTATTAGGTACTTAATAGCAAGCAAGGTAACTGGTTTGTCATTTTACATGTCTGTCAAAACTGCTCTTCAATTTAAATTTTAAACCATTCTAAACCAATAACTTTTTTTCTCTCCCAATTTTAAAAAACCTTTTGCGCACACATTGGCAATAGAATTGCCACTGGCTAGTGTGTGTGTGTGTCTATATATACACACACACATATATATATATATATATATATACATAC